CCCCCTCTTCACCCGAGCTTCATCTGTTCCTCCTCCTCTTTCTCCCATCATTGCATATTTGCTCACCTGATATATTGTAAGCATTTTGCTGGAAGACTTTTTTTTTCCTGCGTGCCACTGTAACGAGAGTGTTCTTCCATCTACAGTATAGTCAACTTTTGCATCACTGTCATCCTCCTGATCCACATGCTTTAACTTATGTATATATTATATTGAATACAATATTTTAGCACATCTTTCTAAGGATATGACTGGTGTGGCAGAGGTTAGCCATCTTACCTCAAGTATTATCCATTTTTCCATGGTTTGTAAAATCATATTTATAATTTTTCATCCACCCATTATCTATACCGGTTATCCTAACAGAGGTTGGGGGGGGTGTCAGCTGGAGCCAATCCCAGCCGACACGAGAGGTGGGGTACACCCTGGACAGCTGACAATAATAATAAAAAAAGAAAAAAAAAAAAAAGGAAACTTGTGATAATGTCATATGAAGCAAATGCACTTGATAATTATTTTTATATACTGCATACAATCCAGAAACAGTTATTAAACTTCCATCATCCCAATAGGGGACAAAAATTGTTCAGCTGTTACTATTAGCCTTTCCCTGAAATGTGAAATTGAAATTCTGATTTCAAATCTAAAGACATTTTGTGTCTTGATCAAGAAACATTTGTGTATAAACAAGGGACAAATCAGCCAAAGGCCATAAATATTAACATTATGTAAGCACCAAAGCACAGTAACAACAGCATCTACTGAACTTGGTTGAAATAAGATTATGAAGCCTTATTCAAGAAATGTCAAATTGATTGAGCTTTGATCTTATTCTAATTTTTGTGGGTGGTATAATGGTGTGACAATTGTAGCTTGATCCGTCCACAAGGCTTTCTGAAATTCATCTTATTGAGACTCCACTAATGTGTGGAAACTGTGGCAGAATTGGCACTACACTAATGTAAATACTGTCTAGCACAAAACAAGATGTGAAAAATCATTAAGTCCCAAGGTTTTCTTGATAATATCAAAAGTCAACTAGAGTTGAGTCACATTTTAACCAGTTTTAAAACACTAAAATCACCAGCTTCATCAGGGTGATGTTTTCTTGGATTTGATTACTGGTCTGGCAACACAAGCAAACAACCTGCTACCAGATTGATTCAAATATTGCTAAATCTTCATTGGTTAAATGGCATCAACTTTTCAACTTTTTCTTTTCAGGCTCTCATCTTGCTCCACCCCCTTACCAGACACCAATGATCCATCCATCTGCCATGTCAAGTGGCAGAAATCTTATTACCTGTAATGTCCAATGGTCCTAATCAGCCCTGGCACCCAGACCTCTCCTGTTCAAAAACAACCAAAACAGCACCAGGGCATCAAATAACACAATCAACCCAGTCCCCACGGACACATTTATGACCCTCATGTCCAGAATGACGGCTTGTTGTTACCAAGCCAATTGTAATGATCAATCGGCCACTAATCCCCAGTGACGCTGCAACGCACACACCTTTAAAGTGCAACAAACCATCAAGGCTCAGGCATCACATCAGAAATCGTTGGGTGCTGGATGTATGAGGTTTCTGATGGAGCTTGGACAATCAGGCGACCATAATCAAGTGTCTTGTTTTCATAAATTCAACAGCTGAGACCCAGTGAGAAAGAAAAAAGGTGAAGAAGAGGAGGTAAGCAGAGCATGGGCAAAGCAGAAGAGGGGATAGGAAAACAGTGAGAGGAGGGGAAATAACGGGCAAAGGCAAAAAGCAGTGGCATTGGCGGGGGAGTAAAGTTTTTCTTCCTAGTTCAGTCATAAAGTACCCCCCTTATCACCAGTGTAAAACCTCAGGCTTTCTTTCCACCTGCTGCATCCAGTCACAGTCTGCTTACTCCTTCAGGAAGAAGAAAAAAAATGACACAAAAGAGGAACGAGAACAAATTCTTTGTGTACTGAGTCATGACCATAACCGCTGACTCCAGACAATTAGAGATGTGCCTCCCAAACACAGACCACCATCTTACCAGCTGAACAAAGTGAGGAGTCCTGATGAAAATGATGTCATTACAATGAGATCTGAGCTAGTTTTTGATTGGAATAAAACATTTAATTAGGAAGTACTTTAAATATTCACTTGTCAGTATTATATGTGGAGAAAAATGCCATTTCTAGAGCCATGCTGCTCTAGTATGGCAAATTAAAAGTCCAGAATGTTGTGACACAAAGTCTGAAAAATAAAGCCAGTAAAGGACAGGACAGCCAACTTGTAACCAGTTAAAGCCTATCAAACGAGCACGATGATCATATTAAACCTGCTTATTAAGAACCACACCTTAAATATATCTTACACCTTTAATTTAAAATTTATTGATGGTCATGCCCACTAATATTGGTGACATGGATTTCTGCTGCAAGGCTCTTGAATATACAACTTTCTTGCATTAGTATTTGCAATGTGATTGTATGAAGAAAAATACACTGTTGCACAACACTCATGGGTAACACAACAAGGTCTGCATATTCACCATGTAACCTCAAGAGGGAGACACTTGTGCAATGAGCAGGTCAGGAAAAGAGCCTGGTTACTGTAGACAGGCTTACACTAAGGCATACGTGGGGGATTTGATAGGATGATGTGGATATGAAGCCATTCTAGCCCATTAATGAATTATGCCAAGTACAACTGCAATGTCACAGAAAACGTCTACTTAAATCTGAGCAGAAATGAATAATTTTCTTACACTTTTGAAGTAGAACCCTTCACACAACTCATTGTCATGCTGTCATTCAACCAAACAGCCAATCACAACCGTGACACAACTGTATTAGTTTTTTTTTTTTATTAAGTCCAAGAGTCACATCAACAAGTTATAATCATAGCAGTCCTGAACAGACGAAATTCAAAGTAGCTTGCAGTAATGACTCCTCATCATCAAAATGCATTAAAAGATGTTGAGTATTAAAAAAAAGAAAAAAACCAAGTCAAGCTACAGAGTTTAGTTTCTTGGTCCATGGACAATAAACCATCAGAAAGACAATATCGTACCACAAGAGTAGTCAAGTCCTTCATCTTAGGCTCACCGCTGGACCAACTGAGAAGCAAGCAGCAGCAGCATAAATACATGTTTATCTCTTGCCAGTGTACATTTTCTCAGATTGAGGGCAAAGTGTGGATTTACCTCCACCTGAAGTACATGAAATAAAGGGAACTGGAACAAGTGTGAGAAGAACTGGACGCAGTATTTTCATACATCCCCAATGCAGAATTTTCTGGAGTAAATATTGAATATATCTATTCATGTGCATATTGCATTTATTTATGAAGTATATCCTTTATACCTTGAAGTTGAATTTTGTTTAAAAAAAAACTGCAAGAGGGTTACTGTGGCCCAATGCCTTTCATGGTGAGTCACGCCTTACAATACCAATTCTTTGCTTCAGTTGTAACTTACAATCAGATTCCCCACATATGTACACAATCAGTATGGCTTCCTTCATATAAACTGTGTAATTAACCACCTGCTGTAAAATCACATAACTTTGGGGTACATGTAATATTCATTCACGGTGCAGACAGTTTAAGTCATTCAAATGTGTACAATGTTACCAAGTCCTACAAGCTTACCAAGTCGTGTTCAGGCTACAAAATTTCAGCGACCCTGAGACAAAGCAGAAGAGTAGGCCTACAAAGAGATTTCGATGCTTAAACAAACCGAACTCTTTCATGATACAAAAACGAATGTGGGACACAAGACAGCTTCCTTTGTTATCCCTAATTCCCTCTGTGCTCACATTATCAAATATATGAATGCAAAAACTATTCATATTAACAAAACTGAGCTGCAATACTGTAACCTACAAACTTTCATGCTTTACAGCAATGTGATATTTCTTTGAAAAAAGAAAACTGTCTAAAGTGCAAGCACAAATACATTTTTATAATGGGGGCAAATGTTGGTTTATAAGTGCGTACAGTCTGAGGGGTTTGTGCGATGCAGCCCGTCATGTGGTGGCAGATATCACCTCAAGGCCAGACACACCTACACACTCACACTTTGATAGTTGAATCTGCATGCCTCAAACATACAAGTTAATGGAGAAATGGTTCAAACAGGACTAAAGGTGTATCTTTGAAAACCATGATTGCTTAGGAAAATGTCAACTGGAAATCGGCTTTGAGTAGCTTCTGTTTGTGACAAGATTGTCTATACATTCTCTTTTCTGGAGTAAAAATTCTATAGATTCAAGGCTATCAGTTTCCATATAAAATCCTCATTTTGTTTCTAAGCAGTCAACTCAGTGATTATAGTAATAATATAACTAAACTTTATGCTGTGTAGGAGAAATATAGCAAACAAGTGCAGTATTATACAAAAGAAAAAATGGCTCATTTTCCACTTCAGTACAATCTGCAGAGGAGAGAAGATCACAGATCTCTATCATAACACAAAACAAAAATCATTCATATACGTATATCAAAAATTCACAAAATGTCCTGCATTTGGAATATTCAAAATACATATCAGAACTCTTTAGAACATAAATCTTGAAAAGCTGTAAAACGAGATGTAAAAGGTGAAAGATGTAAAATATTGCTTCACTGAAAGCCATAACAGGGATGCATGTACAGTACGCCTGGGCACGAGTGTGATGGGAATCACATGATTGAGCCACATGCTCACTGACACTGATGTTTACTCTTGAATTTACAGAACTAAAATTAAATAATGTTGTAGGTCCTCATGTGATATCCATAAATTACCATGAATCTACTCAGGCAAGGTGTTCCCTGCACCGGACAGAACGTCGTGGAAGAATTACTAAGCCAGTACTAATCAAAGTAACTGTGTCCAAAAACAATAATTTAAAGTCGGGTAAAGCAAAATCAGTGATTTGTTTCTAAACACATTTATATATGTCAGAAAACAGTTGCTGAAAATAAGTGACAAGACCGAGAACTATGTAGTAAGACCGTTAAACAGTTGTTCATCATTTCTGAGTTCAGTCTGAGTTTTTCAAACAGGGCAGAAAGTTCGGCTCGATGAAGCACTGGGGCCATCCTTAATGTAACACCTACCCCCAACACTAATTTTTATTTTTATAGGGAAATACCATTAATGCTGCTGCCTCAGCATTACACAGTATCAAAAGTAGCAATGCATGAACGGTGAATGTGGCAGAGTGGATCCAAACCAACTGTAGTTGATGGAGGGAGTTAATGGCCACACCGTGGACTGTGCAGCTGCTGCACTGGACAGAGCACCAAGCTAGTTATTAGCGGTTAGCCTAACAAGCATCCAGACTGTGGGCAAAGCTGGAATTGAGGCTTCTCTGCAAGTTTTGCTTGTTTAGCAGGTGTTTCGTTGAATTACTCCCATTGGCTTTTTACTCGAAGGCTTTACTGCACTTATGGCACCATGCATAGGTACTGCAAACTTTAGCTGTTTCACTTACACTTCTCCTGGGCTCCCAGTATCCACTGGGGTGACAGCAGCCATCTACTCCATGTGTAGGAGCTAAGCACCGCCCGCTCTCATTCAAACCAACACAAAGGAGAAGCGGCTCCATAAATACAAACACATTTTCCACTACTCAGTGGTTTTTGATAAAATGCTCCTGTATATCCCTAGCGCAGTAGCACCAGCTCTCCTTGTTGAGTGTGAGTTACTACACCTGCTACAGCCTACAGTTTGCTAGCTAGCTATGCCTTTGACCCACAAATGGATCTTTCCTATATGTTCTCCCTTAATACATGCATGATGAGAGTAGGGGGAACATTTCCGTGATTGGGCAGTTTCAGTGTCTTCACCCAGCACGCCCCCAGCATTACAGAGCAGAGAATGCTCCCTATTTTTTTCACGACTTTGAAAGCTGATTTTAAATACCTGCCAATATTTTAAACATTTGGCTGGGTGGATAACACATTTTCCTGTGGAGTGACAAACTCAGATCACATTTATTTCTACTTTACCCAGACTTTAAAGATTATTCAAGATCTTAAGATGGAATGTGTAATCTTAAACACATTTTAATAGTGTAGGTCCATCTGGCCTATAATTTCATGGAAGCTCCATCAACACATTTTAGTGCCATCATCTCTAGTAAAAACTTGAAAATAACACGTACAGTAATTATTCCTACAGGGAGATATTTTCCTATTGCAGACCGATCCCTCCACGAACCCCTCAGAATATTAGCATGGTATGGCGCTCAAATGTACAGCTGACTAAGGAGGGATGCTGTGAAAATAGATGGAATAATTACAACTGTATAGCAGTGTAACGCAGAAAGGGATGCTTTTGAAAAAAACAACCTAGCCACTGAACTAAATGTGTTTTTGGTGGTCACGTGCAGTGATTTTTCCCCTTAAAGCCATTACACCACTGACTAAGAATGATTTAAATCACCTACTATAGTGCATTTTTTTTGGTCCACATTATGTAATTTAAGCAATTAAAAAGACACCTGAATCTGCCAACCTGAAAGAAAGTAACTGGTAAAGGTAATGTGTGTGGTGAATGACTGGCCAGAAGAGTACTAATGAAAGAAAATAAAACATGCACACAACCCAGTGAGCATCAACAATGATGACATCATACAGGTAAAAGTTTTAATTTTTGTCACTGAACCCTGAGCTAAATCAAATATATCACCGTGTGTGTAACAGGCTCCTATGAATTATGACCATCAACTTGCAGATACCCGGGTTCACCTCAAACGTGGCTACTAAAGCTGAAAGCTTCAAGCAGTCAAACAATTGTCACTGGTACCCTCGGGCCCTTCATTAAATATTACTCAAACCTGATCAAAAAATACATGAGCCCATGTGTTCTGCACTCAGTTAAAAAGGCAACTACCATTAAAGAGAGAAAATAGTTGAGGTAACAAATAAAAAGAAAATCTAACACTGATTTCACTAAAAGAGAGTTCATTCCACTGTCCAGGGCTTGTTTTTCTTGCTTCCCTCTTTTTAAAAACATGCACAGTCAGTACTATGTTAGAGGGAAGAGAAAAATAAAATAAAATAAAAAAGCATTTGCCCGTGGAATTTTATGAAGTCCTTGCACTTTAACTGTTCGATCTCTTTATCTGAAACAGCCACTGTTTGGCATTTTGATCACCCTTGCTACAAAAATTAAAATAAAACAAAATAAAAAAGGAATTTATAACAAAATAAACTGTTACCAGGCTGAAAATAACTTTAGAAAATGTACACAATACTAAATATTTTCATTTTTGAAGTTGTACTTAATAAAATGTAGTCCCTTACTGTTCAAACAAGCTACCAACTACTAACATCTCTGTTCCTTACACAACACTGTCTCACCAGGAGATGTGTTAGCTTCCTCCCACTACATTCTAAACCCTTTTAGTTGTGTTTTTTGAGAAGTCCGTCTATTGTGCCTTCAGCGGGGCTGAAGTCGGGGCAGATACCGTTAGCTGCTTTGGTGCTGGCAGTGCCTTGTGGGTTCAGAGAAGACAGGCTGGGCTCCGTTTGGTGACCGTGGTAGGGAACGCTGTGGAGGCCTACATTTTCTGTGTACAGGTACTCCTCAGCAAAGTCTGTGTGCTGCTCCACAAAGTTTCTGAACTTGTCTGTGGAGAGACCACAAGAGGGCGCCAGAGACAAAGGCAATATTAAAGTGTGGCCTGGTTGTTGAGTCTACTGTTCTCTGTGAGGGTAGAAAAGTTCAGGAAAGACGACTACTACTTTGAAAACTGAGCGACGCTCAAAACAAAAACTCAATTAAGAAACATTCAGGTCAATCAATGACCAGAGATTTTTAGTTCTCTTACCAAAGGTGATCTTCCCCGTCTTTTCACCGTCAACGGCTGTAAACAGACGTGACACGCTCAGTTCGGTCACTCCTAAAGCTGTCTTCAGTATAACTGCCAACTCCACCTGTGTGATGGCTCCATCCTCCTCTGCCTCAAACATCTGGATAAGATAAAAGTGGAAGAAATGCAGATGTCACCTCTTTGACTTTGCCCTGGGGCATGCTGCTCGACAGCTTTGTCTGATTGGGACCCAGTGAAATCAGCCATGCCCTTTATCTGAAATAAAACATTCTATCATAATTTAAAAAATATGAACTCACCGAGTTCATTAGCCATGAGGTCACCAAACATGCTCAACTCTTGGGATTACATAAAGCAGTTCAAGTAAAAACATGAAAGTGATGCAAGCCACAGCTACAGAACGGCTGCAGCGATAAGCCTCTGAATGCACGTTTCATCTTACTGAATGCAGATATGAACATGAACAGGGGAAAAATTGTGTAAACGTGTTGGTATAATATGCACTAATGAAGCAACAAGAACCATTTCATTCTTCTGTTCATTTTGACATTTTAATGTCACATACTGTCACAAAAATGCCATGCTGCTTATGGGCAGGGACATAAGACTATTCTGTCTAGTGGTTAGATAAGGGTTAAGCTTGAAACAGAACATACCTTGAAGGCCAATTTCATCGTTTCAAGAGTTCTAGCAGGTCTGCATACGACAGATAAGGCTATCACATATTCTCTGATATCCATGTAGTTTTCTTCATGCTGGAAAAATGAGAGAAGACTATGTGTAACGAAAGATGAAGACAGAACATGGGCTAGACTACTTATTTATTCCTCAGGAGTACCCAGAGGTGATTCTATCATGCCCTCACGCTTCAGCACATATTGCTTAGTTATATATTTTATTGTAATGCAGCTCTATACTTGTGCTGAAAGCAAATAAAACCAAATGTAAGAATTAATTTGAACCAGAAGAGAGACAATAAATGAATGGTAATTTATTCTTGGCCACTGAGGAAGACAGGAGAGCTATCATGGTCAAGAGTGTAGAATCTACCTCATCAAAAAGAGCAAACATATCTTGCAGCATGTCTGAAACTGGCACATCGAGGAACTGAGCAAAGTCAACCAAGGCCAGCTTCTGCCCCTCCAGCTTCCTGGCTCTGTTCCCGTACTCCTGCAGAACCTTCTCAGAGTTCCGAGGTTTTAGCCTGGAAGAGCATTCGGAAAGAAACTGCAGTCAGTACAGCTGACCCATTGACTGTGAGGTCTTTTTTTTTTTTTTCTTTTTAAAAGATTGCACCATGGGGTAATATCAACTTCAGACAATGTTTTAAAGTATAGTTTACTGGGCAATATATCAAACCATTTGCAGTATTTCGTTCAATCTATGCACTTTTCCTCCTGTTTTCTAGTCATTTCCACCTTGACTTTCTCCTAAGATCATCATGATGAAGGAAACTTAACTATAACTTATTTAACTTCAACTATAACCATAACTTTCAAGAATTGCAAAATCCTATACGAGTATTACTGTGCTGTTTTGCCATTGTAATCCACTCCTCCAACTGGACTTGACAATTAATTGTGTGACCATACAGGTTGTGGGTGTGACAAAAGAACAAGATATAATGGAGAGAGAACAGCATGCACTTTTATGAACATTTATATTACATACATTCAGTTACCAATTTATTAGGTCCACCTGACAAAAATTAATACAGCTTTACAGAAAATCCTGCTTCGGGATAGTTACAATGTTCAGTTTTTGTTTAAGCTTTTCTAAAGACGTGTTAAATTTTTGTGATTGCTGCTATGGCTGTGGTTTGTTTCTCGGCACCCTATGTTGATATAAATCGGGCAAACAAGATAATAATCAAATAATGTTAACACCAACTGATAAGGCCAACTATATACAGTAATATACAGATTACATAACGTATTCAGATATGTTTCACTTAGTCTAAGTGTCATCTCAAAATTTAAGACCTCTCATGAGTAAAAACAAGGGTTTTTAATACATTTTATGACCTTAAAATCTTGAAATCATATTTAATACTTTTTAAGACTTCATGGACCTGCTGGAATCCTGTTACGCACATTCATGTTCAGAGAATTGTGTTGTTGGAGTTGTTGACACCACAGATATCACTGTCTGAAACTGAATCTTGGTGAGTGCAGTGTTCACCGAGTACTCTGCTGCTCTCACTCAGTAGTCTCCACTGGAAGGTTTAAGTGACTCACCCCAGCCTCCTGATGAGCTTGGCAAACTCCAGAAGACAGGTGTCGACTGGTAGTCTCAGCTGGCCCTCTGCCATGGCTAGCTGGCAGTCTTCAAATGAATAGTCTGTGATGGGCACCCCAAGTGCTCTGAGCATAGCATGGAGAAGACAATGACTGGGCATCAGTGTGTGCAAATCAACACAAACTTTGCCCAAGGCCAAGGTAGTAACCAATATGGCTACTTTGAAATCGAGAACAATGAGTACAGTTTCTTGTCTGCAAGTTTTCCAGGAAAGCACAGAATGTGAGAGTATGCGGGTACACAGGTAGTAAGCCACAGTGAAACAGTAGAGAACAAGGATTAGTTACTAATATCTGCCTTAACAATCAGACCAAAAGCTGTACAGGTAAATCTGTTTGCCCTTGTTTGCTCCTGTGTGACAGGTAAATGTGTTTGTCGTTTTGATGTGCTGAGACACACAAAATCAATTTACTGTATATTTGCAAAATGAATGAGGAATTATGTAATAGTTCTCAGTAGTCAATGTTTTTGTACATTTAAAGACTGACCCGCCATATATAATATAAACAAAACATTTAACTTACTTAGCCATGACACGTCTCACATTGATAGCAAAGAGAGCAGGGTTCTTTTTCTCCTCTTCTGAGGGGGTGTAGATAGGAAGGAACTGTGAAGGGAACCGGAAAGTAAGCTTTTTTTTAATTGTATAGAGATGAGTTATCCATCCATCCATTTTCCTCCACTTATCCGGGACCGGGTCGCGGGGGCAGAAGTCTAAGCAAAGATGCCCAGACTTCCCGCTCCCCAGACACTTCCCCCAGCTCCTCCGGGGGAATGCCGTGTCGTTCCCAGGCCAGCCGAGAGACATAGTCCCTCCAGCGTGTCCTGGGTCTTCCTCGGGGCCTCCTCCCAGTGGGACATGCCTGGAACACCTTCCTAGGAAGGCGCCCAGGAGGCATCCGAAAGAGATGCCCGAGCCACCTCAGCTGGCTCCTCTCGATGTGGAGGAGCAGCGGTTCTACTCTGAGCTCCTCCCGGGTGACCGAGCTCCTCACCCTATCTCTAAGGGTGTGCCCGGCCTCCCTGCGGAGAAAGCTCATTTCGGCTGCCTGTATCCGGGATCTTGCCCTTTCGGTCATGACCCAAAGTTCATGACCATAGGTGAGGGTCGGAACGTAGATTGACCAGTAAATCGAGAGCTTCGCCTTACAGCTCAGCTCTGTCTTCACCACGACGGACCGGTACATCAACCGCATTACTGCAGAAGCTGCACCGATCCGCCTGTCAATCTCCCGTTCCATCCTTCCCTCACTCGTGAACAAGACCCCAAGATACTTGAACTCCTCCACTTGAGGCAGGAACTCTCCACCGACCTGAAGGGAACAAGCCACCCTTTTCTGACTGAGAACCATGGCCTCGGATTTGGAGGTGCTGATTCTCATCCCAGGAGCTTCCCACTCGGCGGCAAACCGCCCCAGTGCACGCTGGAGGTCCAGGTTTGATGGGGCCAACAGGACAACGTCATCTGCAGAAAGCAGAGACGAGATCCTGTGGTCCCCAAACCGGACTCCCTCCGGCCCCTGGTTGCGCCTAGAAATTCTGTCCATAAAAATAATGAACAGAACCGGTGACAAAGGGCAGCCCTGCCGGAGTCCAACACGCACTGGAAACAAGTCTGACTTACTGCCGGCGATGCAAACCAAGCTCCTGCTCCGATCGTACAAGGACCGGGTGGCCCTTAGCAAAGGGCCCCGGACCCCGTACTCCCGGAGCACCCCCCACAGGGCGCTGCGAGGGACACGGTCGAATGCCTTCTCCAGATCCACGAAACACATGTGGACTGGTTGGGCAAACTCCCATGAACCCTCCGCCACCCTGAAGAGGGTATAGAGCTGGTCCAGTGTTCCACAGCCAGGATGAAAACCGTATTGTTTCTCCTGAATCTGAGGTTCGACTATCGGTAGAATTCTCCTCTCCAGTACCCTGGCATAGACTTTCCCGGGGAGGCTGAGGAGTGTGATCCCCCTATAGTTGGAACACACCCTCCGGTCCCCCTTCTTAAAAAGAGGGACCACCACCCCGGTCTGCCAGTCCAGAGGCACTGTCCCCGACTGCCATGCGACGTTGCAGAGGCGTGTCAACCAAGACAGCCCCACAACATCCAGAGACTTAAGGTACTCAGGGCGGATCTCATCCACCCCCGGTGCCTTGCCACCGAGAAGCTTCTTGACTACCTCAGTGACTTCAGCTTGGGTGATGGACGAGTCCACCTCTGAGCCCTCAGCTTCTGCTTCTTCATCGGAAGACATGGCGAAGTGACACCTGGAGATGAGTTAGTCTTTGCTAAAATACACATTCATCTAACTGAAGATTTTGCAAATTCAGATGTCTAAACACAGAACTCGTTTCTGTGTTTCCACAGAAATGACATGGCTGTGTTGCTGAGATAAAACAAAGGACCAAAAGTCAAACCCAGTTAGAGCAAGGATCGGGGTGCATATGTCTGTCCAAACCTGACCTGTGCCCAAGAGTGTGGCGTCCAAACCCCACCCGAACCCGACAAGCTTATAGTATATAATGTCGGAACCTGACCCAAGCCCGGTGCAGTTGAGTCTGTATGGTGATTTTCCCCTTATCATTAAATGAAGCAGACATCTGAGTGCTCAAGCCTTTCAGCCTAAAGTCTAACCTAAGTGTCTGAACCTGACCTGAACCCAAACATAATGTCTAAATTTCTATCAGAAGCTGGCCTAAAACCTTGGGCAGCAACAGGTCCTGTAGGGCTTGGTTGGAGAATCTACACTAAGTACAGTACAACATGACATATAGGACAGCATGTACAAAATTACAGTACATGCCTTTGATAAAGGCATTTTTTTTAAATTGATTTGGTATCAAAGAGCACAAACTTGATCCATATTAGTGTATGTAGTATAGACAGGTACTTTCACACTTACCTCGATCACAAACTCGTTGTGCAACTGGCAGAGGGTCAGCCACAGGATTTTAAACCTGGATATTAGCAGGACCTCATCAGCAACAAACAAATACAGACACAACAGGCACGCATGCTTAGATAACAAGACGCATCTAAGCTCAGTTTAGAGTGCTAACCTTACGGATGTGATATCATTAAAGTAGTGTCATACTTGGAAGGAAATGTCAGTTTATATTCTACAGTATGTGCATATGTGTTTGTGTGTGCCTGTCTTTTAGACATTTAGTAACATAGTATAGTTCTGCTGAGCTGGGAACACAGTTCAGTGCTCCTCCTGAGAACCTCTGTAACGATGAAGTAGAATCAAAACAAGACACCATTCTGGGGACACTACACAGAGACAGATAACAAGGACAGCCAATAACTAAAATGCTTCCAGTCTATTTGAGAGCTCAGTGTGACGATTCTGGTTGAGAAAACAATGTTCATTTCCAGTACAGTAGCCTGGGCTGCAGTTGTAGATAATAATCCATGAAAACATTCATTATGATGCATGACACTAATTTCAAAATCATACACTGTACTTCTTCTGTAAAAACAGCTAAACTAAATGAAGAAATTGTGCACTTACGCTCTAGGCCCTTGCCACGTCCATGTGATTGAGTCCTGTAGAAAGTACATAAAGGCAAGAAAGACTGCAATAAGAACCAATTCAAATATTTCCAGGTTTCGTTTTTAAACCAACTGTGATTTTCCAATTGTTTAACCTCTTATATGTAGGGAGGAGCTTATTTGTACAATTAAAACAAGATTACTGTGCACTAAGATTAAGAAGAAAATCAGTCACCATGCAATAATCCAGTCTGACCACTCAAACACACTGATTTACAAACAATTTGGATAATCACATTCCTCAGCTACTCTACTTCCAGTCAATGTTAAACTAACTTTGGCATATTTTTCAGGGTATTTAAATATTGGTGCTACTTTGAATAAAAAACTGAACATATAATCACCTTTATTTGGTCAAGTATGTTACACACAAGGAATACGTTTCCGGTACAGAACTGAGGCAGCCACATGCAGCGCCAACTCAACCGATGGCTCTAACCATCGGGGGCAACTTGGGGGTTCAGTGTCTTGCCCAAGGACACTTCAAAGTGTGGACTGCAGGCACCGAGATTTGAACCTCCGACCCTTCGGTTGGGAGACCACTGAGTAAAAATCACAGCTCAGAGTTGGTATGTAAACACAATGACTTAGCAAAAAGAAAAAAAATAAAATAAATTCCAACATGTCAGCCCACTGATTTCAATAGCCTAACCACACTAACATGACAGGCACTGCTGTTGTGTTTTGCAAATACATCCATGATTTCTGCAACTGTCGTCAGAGAGCTGATCTTCATGCTTCACTGGGGTATGCTGAACCAAGACATCATGCTACACATAATCTCAGACACAAATGAGGTCTGCTGACAAACTCAGCTTCACCTGAGCATCCAGCACAAAGGTGCTGAAACTTGAAGTACACAAACTCCTGCCCACTCAAGAAAAGCTTTACATACAGTAATTATTGCCATGGAATATTTTTAGCATACTGAGGAGTAAATCTGAATAATAAACAAACATATGTGGAAGATTTAATTCACAAACACTCAAAATTGCTAACATGGCTTCAAGTCCCGTATGCCCCACAGCATGCTGCATTTATACAACAACAACTCTAATGCATTACTAAGTCTTTAAACAGACTACAGATCCACGTGATGCCTGTGAAGTGCTGCAGTAGGTCGTTAATGGTGAACAGACAATCAGTAAACAAGCCCTCTATAACTGGTTTTGGTGTCTACTGATGACACTGATTTTCAAAGTAAAAGTGAATTTAAAAATTTATCATTTGCATTTTAAACCTTACTTGTACTTGACAGAAATATTAAAGGCATTTATTTTAGTTTTTAAATATTTATAAGGCCTTCTTGCTGATAGCCATTAGCCTGTAGGTAGCAAAACCTTTTTAGCCTGTAGGTAGCAAAACCTTTTAATATATCATTTCCTGTATATGGAAAAGCACTCATGTCTGCCCCACAGGCTCTGATCAGTGTTGTTCACATTATGCATTATGGAAATTTGATTTTATGCTGAAAGACCTCATAATCTAGGGATTCTCAAAAGGTGTTGTGACAGTCAATCATTAATATTCTAAGTAGATGTCACCCTCTTAAGGCAAAAAACAAAAACCACACACACGGACACACAAAGTGACCACTGTTGACTGAGGGAGGATCTCACATTACAGTCTGGGATTCTGATGAATCTGCAAAATGTTTCAGCTTCACTCAGACCATTTCCTCCTCCATGGATGCTATATACATATATCTTTCTTCCCACAGTGTGCCCAGCAAGACATGTAATGCATATCTACCTGCTGAATTTGACTCTGGGAAGAAGCCATGAAAGCTACAGGGAATAGTATATACAATACAGACACACAATGCCATCTATTCACATCTTATGGGAATAATCCTTCATGCAACCAAATCTCCCTCCAGTACTGCAATTAGGTTTTGACTTTATACTCTGCAAAGCATGCACATCTTGTATGTTGCTACAATTGGGATAACTGCCTCACACTATTCTTATTATTCAGTGTTTAGTTTTTATTAGTTTCAGTTTAACAGCAGCAGCTATCACAGAATAAGAAGAGCAGCTCAGACACTTCTGTTTGCTCCATCACTGATTAATCTCTAGACAAAGCAGTGTATAAACAATCACATATGTAATTTGCCACACAGTCTGTGATGAGGAGCTAGGTAGGGATTCACTTCCCATCTATTTAACAGATTCACTCTAAAACGTGTTATTTAACCAAAAAAACAGAAACATGAGTGGGATTCTCCTATAAATAAATGTGCCATTAAGCCGTCAACCTATCGTTTCCTCAGACAATCTTACCAGCTTATTAGGGTAACGAATCACCACAGGCTGAACTGGTACTGCTGGGATGAAGGCTCCTAAAAGAGAAAAAAATAAATGAAAAAAAAAAAATAAAGACATTTATTTCAGTTTGACATCTGCATAAACAATAAAGTGGGCTGAAAACATATCTGAAAAACTGCACTCAAACTTTCACTGCCAGTCTAAAATCACACAAGCCTCTTTCATGACTAGGCTATATGTTAATTGTGTCTCTAGAAGCTGTCTGTTACAAGGTAAAAGTCAAGTTAAACTTAGATTTTAACTTTCACTTCATAATTCAAACGTTCCAGATACTGACAATATTTTTACTTCTTCTTCAACAGCACTGACCACACACACACACACACACACACACACCACTTAAAGATAATGGACATTTGATTCAGTTCAATGTGCCAATTCATTTCAGTGATAAAGTCAAATATGAAATATTGTATACTATGGATAAATAGGTAACACTGGGACTTCAAAAGAACAAAAAAAAAAAAAAAAGAAGATGGTATAGAAGCTACCTGGCTTAAAGGTGATTAGGCAGGATCTGTTGGTGCATGTTCCCTCTGGAAAAATCATTATCTGTAGGTAGGAGATGGAAATGGTTTACATACTGGAATGGGAAACAGTTACCTAAACAGCAAGTTAGGATAGCACTAGCAACTCAGACGAGCAGTTGTTTGTTCAGTGTTCAATGTAATGCTAGATTTTACTTATAAAATGTTTGTTTGCTGTGAGTAGACTGTGTGTGTAATTTTTAGTTTTGGAAATAAAAACTGTTTTTGTTAAAAACTAAGTTTTGTACATATACAATACTGAATGACAGTGTTTACATTTTGTAAATATTATTTGAACCCCAGCTGATTTTGTAAGTTTGCCCACTAACAAAGAAATGATCAGTCTACAATTTCAATGGTAGGTTTATGTGAACAGTGAGAGACAGAACAATAACAAAAATATCCAGAAAAATGCATTACAAAAAAAGTTATACATTAATTTGCATTTTCATGAATGAAATAAGTATTTTATCCCTTTGCAAAACGTGCTTTAGTACTTGGTGGCAAAACCTTTGTTGGCAATCACAGAGGTCAGACATTTCTTGTAGTTGGCCACAAGGTTTGCACACATCTCAGGGGGGATTTTGACCCACTCCTCTTTGCAGATCCTCTCCAAGTCATTAATGTTTC